AGAACCACAAGCTTGTATTTATATCTACACCAAAGAACACCGGCCAGACTGTCTTTGTCATCACTGGTACACTTGAGAAGGAATACCTCCTGCTCTTTCCCTCTGCAGTGAGCTGAGCAATGATACTGCTAAAATAGGTGCCAAAGTCCTGTGTCCTTTCTTCTCTTTCTAACTTCACCTCCACCGATAAGAATGAAGACCAAGAGTCTGGATGGGGGACTTGAGGAGAAGGAGAGAAGTAACGTGGGTCCAGGTTTTCTCTGCAGTTGGAAATATAATTAGACAAACCCTGAAAATCAGAGACCGAGTCGGAGACTGGGGGTCATTCAGATAGGTACTTGAATCCATGAGAGTAGAAAAACTCACCAAGAGAAAATATGTAGAAAGAGAAGAGCTGTGGGCAGAGCCTTGAGGATACATTCACTTCAAAGTTTGAAGGCCAAAAGAAAAAGAGAAACCAGCCAAAGAAACAACAAAGGTGGAGTCAGAGAGGCTAGAGACAGATAAAGGAGCCAACGAAGAGATAGTACTCTATTGCATTTGGAAAACAAACCTTTTGCATAAAAGTGTGAATGGTTTTTTTCTTAGAATGTAATTTATCTCTGAGGATGAGAACCTGTTGGTTACATTCTAAGAACCATTACAATTTGGTTTTCTGCCCAAGGAATTTCTACGTATAAATAATATTGATATTATTATTATTTTAAAATTTTATTATTTGAGAGAGAGCGCACACAGAGGGAGAGGGAGAAGCAGACTCCCGCCCCAGCAAGGAGCCCGATGTGGGGTTCCGTCCCAGGACCCGGGGATCATGACCTGAGCCGAAGGCAGACACTTAACCGACTGAGCCACCCAGGTGCCCTGATGTTATTATTATTAAAGTGACTTTTTGGGGGGCGCCTGGGTGGCTCAGTCGGTTACGCGTCTGCCTTTGGTCAGGTCATGATCCTAGAGTCCCAGGATGGAGCCCAGCATCAGGCTCCCCGCTCAGTGGGGAGTCTGCTTCTTGACACTCTCCTCTCATTCTCTCTCTCTCTCTCTCAAATAAATAAATAAAATCTTGAAAACAATATATTGTTGGGGCGCCTGGGCGGCTCAGTCAGTTAAACATCTGACTTCGGCTCAGGTCATGATCCCAGGGTCCTAGGACTGAGCCCCACATCAGGCTCCCTGCTCAGCGAGGAGTCTGCTTCTCCCTCTCCCACTCCCACTCCCCCAGCTTGTGCTGTCTCTCTTAAATAAATAAAATCTTTTTAAAAAAAAATATGTTGTTAAAAAAATAAAATAAAGTGACTTTCTTCTATACTGACATACTTCTACAAAACTCCTTTTCTCAGCCAAGTCTCTAAATACTATCTTATGTGTGTCAGTCCCTACCTCAGATAGTATAATAGGGACAAGGGAATGTTAAATGTTTCAAAGAAATAGGAGCTTGGAAATTGTGTTAAATATAAGTCTGGGTCAGTATTAAAATTAGAAGTAGGTAATAAAATCCCAGCCCTACCTATTGGGATCTGGCAGTGTTGGGGAAAGCACGCATTAGTGGACATTTCACCATTCCTTTATACCTCAAGCTATTTAGCCACCACAGGACAATTGGCTGCATGGCCTCTTCTCCCCCAGCCTGACCTTTCCTAGATCATTTCTACTCTCTTTAGTAGAAGGCACCCAGCTGATACCCTATGACCCAGCAATTGCACTACTGGGTATTTACCCCAAGGATACAAATGTAGTGATCCGAAGGGGTACGTGCACCCCGATGTTTATAGCAGCAATGTCCACAATAGCCAAACTGTGGAAAGAGCCAAGATGTCCATCGACAGATGAATGGATAAAGAAGATGTGGTACACACACACACACACACACACGTCAATCAGAGAAAGACAAGTATCATATGATCTCACTGATATGAGGAGTTGGAGAAATAAGACAGAGGATCATAGGGGAAGGGAGGAAAAAATGAAACAAGATGAAACCAGAGAGGGACACAAACCATAAGAGCCTTTAAATCGGAGAAAAAAAGCGGGGGGTTGCCGGAGTGGTGGGGGGTGGGAGGGATGGGGTGGCTGGGTGATGGACACTGGGGAGGGTATGTGCTATGGTGAGCGCTGTGAATTGTGTAAGACTGATGAAGCACAGACCTGTACCTCTGAAAAAATAATATATGTTTAAAAAAAAAAAGAAGATAGTAGGAAGGGAAAAATGAAGGGGGGAAATCGGAGGGGGAGATGATCCATGAGAGACTATGGACTCTGAGAAACAAACTGAGGGTTTTAGAGGGGAGGGTGGTGGGGGGATGGGTTAGCCTGGTGATGGGTGTTAAAGAGGGCACGTACTGAATGGAGCACTGGGTGTTATACGCAAACAATGAATCATGGAACACTACATCAAAAACTAATGATGTAATGTATGGTGACTAACATAATAAAATAAAATTCAAAAAAAAGAAGAAGGAACCCAGCTGAGCCAATTAGTCCCACTCGTGCACAAACCATTCTATCTGGAAATTTCCATTTTTTCACAGCTTTTCAAGCACCTGGGCTACCAAGAGGGTTAGATGCTTAAAAAAACTGAGGGCACCTGGGTGGCTCAGGTGGTTAAGCATCTGCCTTCTGCTCAGGTCATGATCCCGGGGTCCTGAGATTGAGCCCCACATCCAGCTCCTAGGTCAGCGGGGAGCCTGCTTCTCCCTCTGCCTGCTCCCCCTTCTTGTGCTTGCTCTCTCTCTCTGACAAATATATAAAATCTTTAAAAAAAAAACTGAAAGAATATCAGTCAATATTAACAGTGGTTATCTCTGAGTAGTGGGGTCAAGAGTCCCATATTTGCTTCTATGCAATTATTAATATTTTCCAAAATATATATGCATTGCTTTAACACAAGAAAAAGTCATTGTTTTATCAGGAGACCTGGAGGCCTAGAGGCCAGCAAACAATATCTGGATCCCTACCTTACTATTGGAGGAATGGCACAGAGAGGGATTTCATAGGCTGCTGACAGCATTGTGCACATTGCCTTTAACTTCACTTCTTACCAGTCCATAAAACTAAGGTTTCCAGAGGGAGGGAAGCAAAAGGGCCCTATTTTCTTCTAGTAAACACTTCATGTATTAAATTCCAAAGGTGTGCTATGGCAGGGAGCTTGCCTAAGCCAGAGAGTAAAATTAGCAGAATTACAACAGGCCTCACCTGTGCATGCCAGAGGTCGAATTGCAATGGCCCTGGGACTCCTCCATGCAAGAAGGGAAAGAGGGCAAGGTAGTGAGTAGGTGCCTATTTGCAACTCATGTCAGACCTTTCTCTTTCTGCCATTTCCTCTGGCTCTTTCCAGCAAATGGCAGAAGATGCTTGAGTGCCAGTCCAGATTCAGAAAAATTGAATGTCCAGGGTGAGCAAGAGCCTGCTCTTTTCTGCCCACTGTGGCTGTGGTAATTACCAGACAGGCTGAGCAGACTGCTCCATGTTTGCAAGGAAGTGACAGTAAAGAGACAGGACCAGTACCTGTTAATCTCAAACTCAGAGTTGCTGTGTTTCTAGGCTTAGGAGAGGGTTGAGAGGTTTCAATATATTAAAAAGGGAAAGCGTGGAGGTTTTCTACACTGTGATTCTATCACACAATGGAATACTGAATAGCTGGTAAGAATGAGCTGATGAGGAACAATCATCCAAGATTAATTAATTAACGGTGGTGGCCTCTGGGCAGGAAACTGGGGGTGCAAAAAAAAGGATATTCTTTTCCATGAATATCCTTTTGTAACATTTGAATTTTGTACCATATATATAAAACTTCAGTATCATTTTTAAATGGTCTACATGCACACATGGTGCAAACACATACATGCAAAAGAGTGCAGATCACCTGCAAAAAGCTATGACATACCTCCTCAGTCCCTTAAAGCTGCTTTCTAGAAGTAGAACAACTATGTCCTTCACTGGCCCATCCACCTCCACCCCTGTGATTGCCCATAGTAGCTTAATTTCATCTCTCCACCTCACCCCAACCTCCCCAGCCTCCTCTCTGACCACAGAATAGCATTATCCATTGCTGCTCTCCTCAGCATCCCTAAATTTTAAAATATGTTCTACGTTGTATTCTCTCAAAACCCTGTAAAACTAATCAACTAACTCCAGCTAAAGTTACCCCTCCCAGGATATGTTTGCATATTAACAGTGAATTTCAGCCAGAGAGTGACTGATTTTAGGGCAAGTGAGGCAGAATCATAGCACCAGTGAAAGGAATACTGGACTTGAGGTCAGGAGACCTTGATCTTACTCAGGCTATTCGACTCAGGGCAAATCACTTCACCTCTCTGGGTCTCAATTTCCTTTACTTAAAAAGGTGGGGGGGGGGGGCTATAAGAGATGATCTTCCCAGATCTAACACTCTACAAAATCCCATCATACAATGATGATTGCCATCCGCTCTGAACTTGATGTGTACTGTATGTGTTCAACAGCACTGCCCGAAAGAAATATAGTGTGAGTCATATGTCATTTTAAACATTCTAGTAACCTCACAAAAAAGTAAAAACAGCTGAAATGAATTTTAATAGATTTTATTTAACCCACTATACCCAAAATATTATCATTTCAACATGCAATCAATATAAAAATCATTGAATTTTCATTTTTTTAGTAATAAATCTTCAAAATCCAGTGAGTATTTTACATTTACAGAACATCTCGATTTGGACCAGCCACATTTCAAGTGCTCAAAAGCCACCAGTGGCTAATGGCTACTATACTGGACAGCACGGCTCTAACAAGGAAGCCCTCCCTTCATTCCCGACCTCGTTAAGCCCAGACTTGAAGATTCATATGAATACCGGCCTCCATTCTTAGAAAAGGTCAAAGTCATCAGAGCAGTTTTGGTTCTGAGTTCCTTGACTAACTAGGAAGGTAGCTGGGGCTGGTGATCAGACAACACTGCAGAGTTCAAGACAAACATCAAACAGAGAACCGAGAGGCCTACAAGCTGAATAATATGGAGGAACTTCAAGGGACAGACAGACTCCTTTTTACTCAGACTTTTCACAATAAATAAATACACCAAAAGCACACGGATCTTTTGTCATGGCAGCTATATCAGTTCATTCATTTAAACACCTCTGATACCTTCATACTTCCTCGGCTAGGCCTAAAAGCCCCTCCAAGATAATAACTCACTAACAGATGAGGACACTGAGGCTGAGAAAGGACAGGTCACTTTCCAACAGTCACATGCCTCATGAGTGGTAGAGCAGGGATCCAAACCTGATTTTTTTTTTAAGATTTTATTTATTTATTTGACAGAGAGAGACACAGCAAGAGAGGGAACACAAGCAGGGGGAGCGGCAGGCAGAGGGAGAAGCAGACTCTCCTCTGAGCAGGGAGCCCGACGCGGGGCTCGATCCCAGGACCCCGGGATCATGACCTGAGCCGAAGGCAGACGCTTAACGACTGAGCCACCCAGGCGCCCCCCAAACCTGATTCTTAAAACACTGCAATGAGCCACATTCCCCAGCTTCAAAGAGCTCACAGTTACTGGAGGTAACAAAGGACTTCACAATTACAAGGCCATGGGGTCACTGCCACAAAAAGGAGGAAGCAGAGGCCATCAGGACAGGATTCCCAAAGGTAACCGTTGAGTAAGTCTAGAAATTCAGGGAGCTAACCAGGCAAAAAGTGGAAGCTGGGCCTTCCAGGGGGAACAGCAGGTGCTAAAGTTACAGTGGTGTGAAGGCATGAAATGTTCAGAAAACTGACTGGCTGGGCAGCTGGAGGGCGGCGTGCATGAGGAACAGAGGCCCCGCATCAAAGTGGAGGTGTTAGCTAAGACCAGTGCATAAGGGGCCTTAAATTCCATGACGAATTTAAGAAGAAATGCCATGTGAAGCATGGGAAGACATTAAAGAGTTTTATCTAGGGTAGCGAAGGACCAGATTTTCATTTTGAGAAATCATTCTAACAGATCTCAAAGCTTACCTGTCTCCTCTCCTCTCCCCAGGGTTCTTAACTCTATTTAAAAGTCCACATGTAAAAGCACAGATTTGTTACCTACAGAGGTGGACCACATCCTAGGGACTTACCTCCCAAGGGCCTGTGAGGTTTAGTCCTTCTACCCACTTTACTAAAGAGAAGTTGTTGACTTGGAACTCCTGAAAACCAACCTCTGGGAAACTACAAAGCACCTCCTCTATTCCTGGCATCAACACTGCCTGAAACCCCAGCTGGGGGCAGTTTGCTTGGCCTTCAGCCTCAAAAAGGTTAGCCCCTGCGGGAAGCCTTTACAACTCCGACAGCATAGTAGTGTTTTACGTTTACCTGCACAGAAACATGTAAGATTCTCGTGGTCAGTGACAGAAAACACTGAAACATTTCAAATACCCAATGCTATGGCCCCAATGCCTCCTCCCCCTAACAGTAGATTGTTTATTGCCTTCAAAACCCATATCTCCCCTCTGCCCAACTCCCTCTACACATCCCTTCCAGCTCACCTGATTACCCAGTTCCATTTTCAGCTCATCAGCCTCTGAGCCTGGCCTACTTTTCAAGGCTACACGAGTGGAAAAACCTGTACATTTTGCAATAGACTATAGCTAGAACAACAGGACATAGAAGGGGGGGACAGCAACGGTGTATACCAAGGAGGCAAGGACAAAGGGCAGAACCTGGTGAAACAGCTGTTGGACAAAGCACAAAAGTACTATTGCAGGGCAGTGAGAAGGAACTGACAGGAAGAAAGAGAACACAGGAATACTGAGTGTGTAACAGGGCAGGACTTGGCCACTGACAACCTGGAAAATTGAGCTGAAGCCCAAGAGGCACCAAACAAGATCACTTTACCCAGTGAGAAGAGCAGAGCCACCTACTTTGCTTTCAACAGTCACCTGAGTGGTTCTGAAAGCCACGTCCTGGTCTGAAAAGAGAGGGCCCAAGTAGTTTCAAGCCCACTGCAAAACCACAGGAATGGTGTATTGATAAATAACTTCTCTATGCACAGATTTGGTAGAAAGGAGCATAGAGGAGAATTAAAAGGCCCTCTCAGATCCTCACTCTGCCTAATTAAGGGCCTACCCTATAAAGGCAATTTTCAGAGGTAAGTTTTCCACAGAAGTGAAAGGCCAAGGGTCATTCTATCAGAGTTTTCTGAACTTCCAGCTTCATTAACCCCTGACCTGAAAAATCAATCCCTTGCCTTTGCCAAGGAGAAGGAGTATTTCACTCTTCTTTCCCAAACCCCTCCTTTAGAAGGAGCCTCTGGGTATAAGGGAGTATTATTCTGGAGGACTTGTGCTCTCTGGCCCCACTTTGTTCCCACATTACCTACCAACACCAGCCAAAGTGGGGTGCAAGGGGGATAACATTCAGGTAGCAAAACACAGTTCACCAGACTGGATCAGGTCTTTCTAGAATTGAGGGGGCCCAGCCAGCAACAGGCGGGCTGCCATGGATGAGTTACTCTGCTTCTGTCATGGCCGACCTGGGGAGTAGAGAGGTTGAGTGGAATGGGAAAGACCACTCAGTCGTGGATAGGAAGCCGGTAGAGAGAAAACATGGCCTCCTGGATCCGATGGAAGAGCTGAGCCAGCTTGTAGAGGAAGGGCAAGGAAGAAGGAGAAGCTGCAGGAAAAAGGAAGATTGTTGTCAGTGTGCCTGCCTTTACTCCCCTCCTCTTCCCCTCAGCCTCAAGTCCCTTTCCTTGGAAACCCTACCACTTTGGGAGTATGCGTGATCTTTGTAAAGCATATGTTGATGCTTAATGTTATTTGCTCTTCCTCCCCTTCCCAACAATAAAGAAAACTTTCATTTTCTCTAGCATATATTCTCTGGGATATATTTTCTTCACTTGGATTACAGTGACCTTAAGTTTGCTGAGAAAAAGATCCAAACATTATGTTTTAGCCTAGCTTTATGATACAGACACAAAAAACATAATGGTGGCTGCCTCTGGGAAGATAAATTTGAGAAGAGACTTCACTACATTTCTTTTCATACCTTCTCAACCTGGAGCCAAGTGACAGTATTACCTATTTTTATCCTAAGTTAATCATATTGAAAATAAAGTACAATCTACCTCTTAGGAATTAGGGCTGAATTGATTGGTTGGTTTTTCCTTTTTTGATTACTGATTTTTTAACTGATTTTTTTTTCTTTCTTAAAAAGAAAACTGTTATTTTTAAAGAAAGCTACTGACAGTCTACTCTTTTTATATCCTTCCTAGAGAGTTCTAGTTGCGGCCTGGTCATGGACTCTCCTCTCCCACAGCACCACCACTGCAATGAGTCAAGTCCGCCACTAGGGGTAAGCAGTGCCAGGCCAGGACACCGGGAAGAAGCCTTGGAGGCAGCAAGCTCAAACTGCCTCTTGCTGTCCCCACTCAGAAGAGCAGGACTTAAAAGCACCATAAAAAAAAAAAAAAAAAAATTCTAAATTTTTATCAAGTCTCTGGAACAAAGTACAAGTCAGAGAGTGGACTGGAATGAACACAAACTATCCTCAGCTTTCCTGAGAACTAACTCAGGACTCTTTCCTTAAGCAAACAGAGCTATTCAGAGGGAATTCCTGCTCAGTGTTCAGCAAAGTGAAAAGACAACTTTGAGCTATGCAAAAAAAGCTCACTGAATAAGAGAAAGGGGAATGGGGAAAATGGGGAAGACCTAAAGATTAAATCAAGAACTGGTAGGTTTTGTTTTTGTTTTGTTTTAAAGATTTATTTCTTTGAGAGAGGGAGAGCACACACGCACAAGAGCATGCACATACGTTCGCAAGTGGGAGAAGGGTCAGAAAGACAGAATCTCAAGCAGACTCCCCCACTGAGCTCGGAGTCCACATGAGTTCCATGTGGGGCTGGATCTCACAACCCTGAGATCATGACCTGAGCTGAAACCAAGAATCTGACGCTTAACCAACTGAGCCACCTAGGTGTTCCAAGAACTGGCAGTTTTTAAAGTAGACAAATTATTTGTGTGACCCTGGGCTAGTTACTTTTTTCTATAGTTCTTAGGTTTCTTGATCAAAAAAGAAAGAAAAAGAATATGAAGGGACTGGAATAAGGGTTTCTAGTTTTCCTTGCAGTTTTGAAAGTTATATAATTCTATTCTAAGTCTAAATTCATAAGAAGAGTAGAGATTAGATCATAACTCACATAGAGTAACACACAAACATAAAAATCTAAAAGAATGAACTCCTAATCTTTGGTCCAGCACTTAGTTTTGAGGAGTTAATCCTCAGGAAATAACCAGGGTTGTTCCCAAATAGCACTTAGGGGGCTCCTGTCTGCTTCATAGCACTGTAGAAAACAGAGTAAGAAATAATCAAACTGTGGGGCGCCTGGGTGGCTCAGTCGTTAAGCGTCTGCCTTTGGCTCAGGTCATGATCTCAGGGTCCTGGGATCGAGCCCCACATCAGGCTCCCTGCTCAGCAGGAAGGCTGCTTCTCCCTCTCCCACTCCCCCTGCTTGTGTTCCGTCTCTCGCTGTGTCTCTCTCTGTCAAAAAAATAAAAAAATCTTAAAAAAAAAAAAGAAAGAATCAAAATGTTCAACAATGGGGGTTATTAATCAATCATGGAAGTTTCTGTAAACTGGAATATTATTTAGCCATCTAAAGCCATGTTTTAAAAGATATTTATAACATGCAAAATTGCATCTGCATCCATATAGAAAAAGACTACAGTATAACCATTACAATAACAAACTTATAGGTGATTTCTGTTTTCTTCTTTATACTTTTCTCTATTTTCTACATTTTCTAAAATATACATGTATTTCATTTACAATTTAGCACAATTTTTTAGGTATTACGATGAGGAAAATTTTTTTTTAAATTCTCACATTCTGGTCAGAGTTCACCCTTGGATAAAGTAGATGACAATCACTCAAAGTCAGTGTTCAAGGGTCAACAGAGTGAATTTCCTCCAGACTGCTCTCATGGACTCCAGGGCTGTTCTCTCCTAGGTGAGCTGAGCTGGCTCTCACTGAGGTGCAACAGTCCCTCCTTATAGAAGAGACTCAGGGAGAAGTGGCACCGGAGATGCCTCCATCCCCAGGAAGGCTCCCACAGGCTCAGTCCCTGTTCAATGGCCCCTTCCCCAGGAAGGGCAGGAGAGAAGACAGGCTTCATTACTCACCTGGATCAAACCTTACCACCAAGAGGCAGAGGATCAAGGCGGCCAGGAGGCTCTTTCTGAAGGGCATGGAAAAGAGGTGACTCACTGTAGAATCCCAAAGCCGGCGAAGCAACACCATTAGTGACAGGAACTTGTGGGAGAAGGAGCCTGGTCAGGGAGACAGAGCATAACTGCAGGGTAACTCCATGAGAACCAGCTTCCCTGATTCTGAGCTTTGAGCTGGATTATGAGAGTTGAGCAAAAGACTAGTTCACTCCTATAGTTCATAAAGTGGTTCTAAAAGAGATTCCAAAAGCTCCAAAAATGTTTTAAGGACAGACTACATCACTAGAATGTCATCTCCTTAGGAGAGACTTTTAATAGACAACATCTACTCAGCTGGGTAAACCTGGCATATTTAGTGTACTTTTTAAATACTATTTTATAGCATTCTTTATATTTTGGCCTAAGATATGTACAGAGAGTTACACAGAGCAATAGTTCTTGATTATCACATTAATGCAGGAAAATGAAAGGCAATATATATAGTGAAGAATTCAAAAGTCTTAGATTTTAAATATGAACACCATCAACTCAAGAACAAGTGGTGCCAAGTCCTGATAGAACACTCTGAACTTGCCATCAAACCCTTTCCCCATCCTTTCTTCCCCAGGAGATGGAGGGGCAGAGGGCTTGGTTAGCCACAGGCAATTCCTAAAGCCAACAACCTGTTTGCAAAGAAGTGATTCTACCTCAGGAGGTTCATCCTCTTTAGCACACAAAGAAAAAAACACTTTGGAAAACAGGATTATAGTTGGCTAAAGAACTCCATATAAAAAAGAAGGATCGGGCCTATTCTGTATGTACCAAGAGAAAAATCAAAGAACAGTGGCTAAAAACTACCAAGAAAACACTTAAATTCAGCATCAGGAAGAACTTCCCTACAGAACTGTCCATAGATGGAATGAGCTGCTTCTGGAGACAGTGAATTTCCTATACTTCCATAGACTAGATGATTACTCGAGGAAAAAGAGGGTGAAAAGGATTCAAAGACCAGGGAAGGGTCTGGAGTAGAGGACCTTTAAATTCTCTTATAACAAAATAACCCCTACACCTACACCCACCCCTATGTAGGCATCCCTTGTAAGATAATAGGTGTACGATGCTGGGTCTTAAAATGGTTTCCCTAAAAAGCCATTGTGTGAAACTGCACTCCAATGGGCAGAGGTGGGCTGCCCCTTAAAGGGGGACATCAAACACTGAAGAACATACCCAGGAGATCTAGTAAGTAAAGGCAGACAGGAGGCTGGGCAGTGGGGCCCAAGCTGAAGATAAGTAATTTTTATCTAAGTCAAGTTACCAAGTTAATGTGTCAGCTTATTTTCCTTTGGCTATCCCACAGCATACCTCAGCTGTGTCTGTATTTGGGCCAGCCTTTAAAGGAGGAATAACATCCCACTCAGGCCAGCATGCTAGAGACAAGAGATCTAGTGAGAGGACCCTAAGGAGAAGGTGGCTTTCAAGAGATAAGAGTTAAGGTTCTGAGATTCAGCGACACCTCCCAGAGATTCTCCTTCCACTGCCAACTACAAAGGGTCAGGGCTTGGCTTTTTAATCAAATCAACAGGTTTCCTATTCTGCGATTTGGGAGTTGCTCATACAAATAATTGCTCCCAAGTTCCCAGGAATGTCATGATAAACCCCAAGGTATAAGGGAAAGCCCACAACTCCACTTTATAGAGGCTACAGAAGGATAATGTCCTTACCTTCCTGGTTTAGCTTCTGGGCCTCCTCAGAGCCTGAGTGTTGGTGTTTCTGCTGTTGCCTTGCCTTATTAATGGTCTGGAGTACGTCCAGCCGCTCTTCCTCACTGAAGGCTGCAGAGCCCACCACGAGCTCCTCAGCCTCTGACAAGCAGCCCAGAGGCAGCAGCACTCGCTGCAGGTGAAGTTCTGCCAAGGCTCTGTATTCGGGAAGACCCTGATTGTCGGGGTCTTGTAGCCAAGCACTGACCACTCCCAGCACAGCTCCAGGCTCTTGCATTTTGCTGTATAAAAGAACACTGCAGCCCCAAATAACCCAATTTCAAAAAAAGAGGTCAGTGCTCCATGGTTGGTTCACCTCTCATAACTACCACCCTCTCCCACCCAACCCCTCCCCTGTGTCCTCCAGGCCTTCCCTCTGGGATGGTGATACTGATAAGAATTAGGAATTCCTAGGAAGTAGCAAGAAGCTCTCTCAGCTAGGACATACTCCACTTCTGTCATCCCACTGCACATCTATTCCCATTGTCCCCTCTCCTCCTCTTTCCCTCTGCCCGACTCCTAAATTCCCCCTTCCTCGTCTTTTATTGCTAGGTTTTGGGTCAAAAACAAAACAAAACAAGCAGGGAAAGAATTAGATATAGAGGGAAATGGTAGGGAAGGAAGAAGAGAAGATATTGGGCACTGATTCAAAAAAGGACATGAAAGTCCTCTTGTTCCTGAACTGAACCAGTGAATCAGAACAAGGACCTACCATAGTTCCAGGACTTTGGGAGGTAGCTTTTCAGGGACCTGGTAATACTGAAGAACCCAGGACAGGACTTCCTGCCACCGATTCATTTCTGCCAGGGCCTGGATTCCCACAACACACAGGGAGCATTTCACCTCCAAGGAGCTGCCAGCAGAAAAACCAATTCAGGTTTAGAAGTGTTTCCCCTCCAGGGGCACCTGTTAATAGGTGACTCTTGGTTTCTGCTCAGGTCATGATCTCGGGGTTGTGGGATCAAGCCCTGCATCAGGTTCTGTGCTCCAGCTCAGTGCAGAGTCTGCTGGAGATTCTTACCCTCTCCCTCTGTCCCTACCCACGCTCTTACAAGCTCTCTAAATAAATAAAAATCTTAAAAAAAGGAAGAAAGAGAAAAAAAGAAAAGAAAAGAAAAAAGAAATGGTTCCCCTGTTTCCATTCCCACCTCCACCCTGGGACTGTTCCTCCCCTGTTCCCAACTCAGCAGCCATCACCTCTATCCTCCCCATTAGGATTTAAGTGGAGCTCAAATTACAACTGGTCTCACTAGCCCCAACACAGAGAAAACTGCCCTTTCCCTCAGGAGTCCAAAGTTCCTGTAAATCTGGAGGCAACTCAACTGTTGCCTGGATACACATCTTTGAACCCAGGTGACATCAGGAAAGGGGAAAGGGATAACAGGTGTGTGGGTGGAAAGAGAGCTGGAGCTAAAAGTTTGTTTTAGTGAAGAAGCGGGGATGGAGGAAGGTTTCTGCCTGAGTGTAGGTATAGGAACTTCACAACTGGCCTGTTAGCACCACCAACTGAAGTACCTCCGGGCACCCCAAATCACAGCCTCCAGCATTTACTGCAACAAGCCCCTACCCAAACCCCTAAAAACACAGCCGGGGCTCCCCAGTTCATTCTTCTCTGGGGTCAGCTTTGACTATTCTACCCACCACCTCCCTAGTGTAGCCAAAATCAACATTACAATCCACAGAAAAATGATGCCCTCAACTTCCCGAAGAGGCTAACAGCGTTAGAAAGAACAATGTCTCAGAAAACAAACTGAGGGTTGCTGGAGTGGTGGGGGGTGGGAGGGATGGGGTGGATGTGTGATAGACATTGGGGAGGGTATGTGCTATGGTGAGCGCTGTGAATTGCGTAAGACTGATGAATCACAGACCTGTACCTCTGAAACAAATAATACATTATATGTTAAAAAAGAAGAAGAAGAAGATAGTAGGAAAGGAAAAATGAAGGGGGGGAATCGGAGGGGGAGACAAACCATGAGACACTATGGACTCTGAGAAACAAACTGAGGGTTCTAGAGGGGAGGGGGTGGGGGGATGGGTTAGCCTGGTGATGGGTATTAAAGAGGGCACGCACTGAATGGAGCACTGGGTGTTAGATGCAATGAATCGTGGAACACTACATCAAAAACTAATGATGTAATGTCTGGTGATTAACATAACATAATTAAAAAAAGAAAGAAAGAGCAATGCAGAACCAAGATTTTCTCCAGATTGATTCTTTAATCCAATCCTTCAACAGGACCAGAACACTACTCCTGCTCTGAACTCCATTTCCATTCATCAACCAAGGTCAAAAGTGAACAACTTGGGGGAGAGGAGTGTACCTAGGAGAGGACTTCCACCACCTGCTTACTGAACCTGCTTACCGAAATAATTTAACACTTAATACATATCTCCTCACCATGCCATTCTACACTGGAATAGGGAGAAAAGAATTAGCTGTGGATTCTCACTAAGCTCTGTTACCCGACTTGACCACTTCTTCCTCATTGTGCAGTGCCTTAGTTTCCTCCTCTGTAGAATGGGCACGCTAGCCTCTCAGAGAGAAACCACTAATGAAAGCAAGGTGTAAGGTTCCTTGTGAGCAATCTGGGAATGACAGAACTCCCAAAATCTCGAGTCCTCCCCAAGATCACCCGGAAATGAACGAAGCCCAGCACGTACGTGCCCGCATCATTGCTGGCTAAGCTCCGCCAGGCGCGTTCACAGGTCTGCAGCGCTCCCCGGAAGTCCAGGTGCACCACCAAGAGGTCTGCAGCCTCCTCTAGCAGAACCACGGCTGCTGACGGAGGTGGGGCGGCGCACACAGGCTCGCTGCTCCTCAGGGGCGCCCCGAGCCCCCTAAGGGGGGCTGCAGGAGTCGAGGAGTCACTCTTCATAGCCAGCCTGGGGCCAGGGCCTGTCTCTTCAGACATCAGAGTGGCAGCCTCTCCGGGGGATCCGGGATATCCCGCGTCGGCCTGGGAGAAGAGGGACAGTTCTCATACGCTTGCCCACAACCCTTCCCGAGGCCGAGTCCTGGAGAAGGAAAAGTTAGTGGCCATGTCTAAGTTAAAGGCTGGGTTAGCCCGGAAGCTGCTCCAGCTCAAGACAGCCTGAAACACGGGGAACCAGTTTACACCTCGTATTTGCAGAACAGCTACATCCCTGGAATACCTGCCTCTAGCTTCTCTGGCCCGACGACATGTACTGATACCACCTTAGCCCTGGGGATTGCCGTTCCAGGTTCCTTTTTATGAATATAGCCGCTCACTGCAGGCGCGGGACAAGGGAACCGATATCTTCCTGGCTCTCGCAGACCCCTGCAGACTCATGGCGTCCCGGCGGCGCGGAGGACTCTGGGAGTTATAGTTCCCTGGCTCCCGGCTCAGGCGCCTTCTTGATGTAGATGGGGGAATTTCGGACTACAATCCCCAGCATACCACGCCCCAGAAACTGTCACAGTCCCCGGAGAAAAACTGGCACTTTGCAAAGCTTTGGGAAATAACAAAGCGAAGGCTGTGTTGTGAGATGGGGAGGTCCCTTCACGAACCAGTTCCAGCAGAGGCCGGACAGAGGAAATTCCAGTAACAGGGTTGGAGTTATGAGCAGGCTTCTAATTCTGAGCTTCTGCTGGAATAGCGATTAGAACGGTAGGAGGACAGAGCAGGAAAAGCCCTGAAAGGAAACAGAGCTGGACACTTTTCCTTATATGTTCCGCCTTCCCAGGCATAGTCACACTTATCCAGTGCTTACAGGGCCTAACACTATGCTACGCGCTTTTTGTGCAATCTCATTTAATCCTTCCCTCAACCCTGGGAGTTAAGGACAACTGTTATCCCCATTTAACAGGTGAGGACATTGGAGCTTATTTAAACACTTTGCTGAAGGTCACACAACAAGGAGCTGGCAAAAACTAAGTCAACAAAGCTATTTTTGCTCAAAGTCATGTATTTAGCCACTATTTTGTTCAGCAGGACAGAGTCTAGAGTCTATGCTTTCTATTCAGAAAATTTACATATCATTCCCCAAGCAAGTTACATAAGCTCATTGAGACTCGTTGCTTCATATAAAATAGAGATATTGTGAAAACAAAGCCACACGGTGTGTAATGCAATTCATAATAAAGTACTAGAATAGAGCAAGTATTCAATAAATTATAGCTATAATAATTATTAGATAAATTTACACAAATACATAAATTACATTTATTATTGTATTATGTGCTTCACCCAGACTCTGCTGAATTTATACTAGGTTGTCTCAGCTTTAGTTTCTCCTCAGTTCCCTACCTTTTGAACTCTTTGCAAAGCTTCTCTAGAATAGTTTACTCCCCTGGTGATTAGATTAGAACGGCCAGGCACAGGGTAAGTGCCCATTTATGCCATACATTCCCTTCCCTTGTCACTAGATATAGACACACCCATTTGCTGGGCTTTCAGCTCTCTGCAGAAAGTCCTCATGGAAAGCTGAGGCAGAAACATGAAATCCATCAAACTGAGGAAAGAGAAGTATGGACGCTGTTACCATATAAGGTGATGAAGTCAGGACTTCACTTATTCTGTAAATACTTTTGAACGCCTACTAGGTGCTAGGCCCTGTTCTAAGTACTGAAGATCGCACAGTGAACAAAAGAGACAAAAATATCTGCTTTTGTGGAGTTTATGTCATAGTGAAAGAAAAGAAAATTTTTAAAAAGCAAGTGAAGTACAAACAGTAGTATGTCAGATGATAATAAATGCTGAGGAGAAGTAAGAGAGATTGGGAGTGACAGCAGTAGAGAGGTAGAGTTGGTATCTACATTTAACTTTATTTTCTAACAGGAAATCCAGGGTTGGAGGCACAGCAAAGAGAAAATGTGGACCTCCTGCTCAGGACTAGGCTCTGTCAGCGGGATCACTATTCATTTTGGAGCACTGCCCTTGGGACCAACATATTTTCAGTGTTGCTTGTGAGAAGCTCCACCCTAAGTCTCTCTTCCCTGCCAGCCAGTATTCATTCCCACACAGAAAACTCCAGAGGCAAACAGAGATCCCTGGAAAGTGTGGATCAGTCTCAGAATGAAGTTACCGAAGTGTTTTATCAGCTCTGCCTCAGATTTGATTATTAATGCACTGCAAATAAAAACCCTGTTCTCAGAACTAGGTGTAGAGGTCTTTTCCTGAAAAACAGGAAAGGAGTAGGTGCGTCAGAAAAACAGACCGGTGCAGACCTAGGTAGGTTGAGACTGGCACAACCACTTCACGTCACTTCCGGAAGCACCACCTTAGACTGCCGCCTTGAAAGGGCCCCTTCCTTAAATTCTAACAAGAAGTTTCTTGCTATTTCCAAATGCTTCCAGGAGATGGCAGCACAGCCTTAAAAGAAGCGGACCTGCCAGAAACAAATTTGTCTATTTCGTGGAATGGCTGCCATAATGAGGTCAAGATGGGGGGGGGGTTGCTAAAAATCACATAAAAATATGATTGTGTTCTATTTCTGTGTTTCACCCAATTTTTGACTATACAGGACTTCAGTGGTCTGTATGTCACCACTTAACCTTTAGCATTGTTAAGCCCACAAATTGACTCTTTAACCACCACTGTAACATTCCACTCTCTCCCCTGTCTGAATGTACCCAGAATTTCTCAGGCTCACAGCAATCCTAAACATAAGCAAGTTCATTCCACCCGAGGGAGAGTTAACAGATACTATATATACCGAGCCAGTCTTTCTGACTCAGGGCTCATGACACAATCTTTGAAAGCACCTATCCTCCCCTTGGGATAAAACAAGAAGTGGAAATAAGGCCTGATCTATAAGACCAGATCTAAGGTCTGGTCCATGCTAATATCTGTATTATCGGAATCTTTTCTTTTTGGGAAAATAGAGTAAATGAGATGAAAAATCCACTTTGTGAGCTATCCTCTGACCCCAACCCAAACTCTGGGACTTCTGCTCAGCGGGGTGCTCATTCTATCAATGTATTGCCTAAAGCTGAGAATGAGGATTTGCTCTGCCTGCTCTGAGCAGATGAGGAGTAGGTATTCTTGTAGCAGAAAGAACTACAGAACACTCATGAAAGAAAGAAGACACAAAAAGATGGAAAAACATTCCATGCTCATGGATCAGAAGAATAAACATTATTAAAATTTCTATGCTGCCCAGAGCAATCTATACCCTCAACACCATCCCGATCAAATTACCAATGACATTTTTCGAAGTGTTGGAACAAACAATCCTAAAATTTGTATGAAATAAGAAAAGACTCCGGATCGCCAAGGAAATGTTGGGAAGAAAAAAAAAAAAAAAGCTGGGGGCATCATGTTGCCTGATTTCAAGTTATATTACAAAGCTGTGATCACCAAGACAGTATAGTACTGACACAAAAACAGACACATAGACCTAATGAAACAGAATAGAGAGCCCAGATATGGACCCTCAACTCTATGGTCAAATAATCTTCAACAAAACAGGAAAAAATATGCAATGGAAAAAAGACAGTCTCTTCAATAAATGGTGCTGGGAAAATTGGACAGCTATATACAGAAGAATGAAACTTGACCATTCTCTTACACCATACACAAAGATAAACTCAAAATGGATGAAAGACCCCAATGTGAGACAGGAATCCATCAAAATCCTAGAGGAGAACATAGGCAGTAACCTCTTCAACATCAGCCACAGCAACTTCTTTCAAGACACATCTCCAAAGACAAGGGAAACAAAAGCAAAAATTAACTTTTGGGACTTCATCAAGATAAAAAGCTTCTGCACAGCAAAGGAAACAGTCAACAAAACAAAGAGGCAACCCACGAAATGGGAGAAGATTTTTGCAAATGACATTGTAGACAAAGGGCTGATATCCAAGATCTATAAAGAACTTCTCAAACTCAACACCCAAAAAACAAATAATCAAGTCAAAAAATGGGTGGAGGACATGAACAGACACTTCTCAAAAGAAGACATACAAATGGCTAACAGACACATGAAAAAATGTTCATCATCATTAGCCATCAGGGAAATTCAAATCAAAACCACATTAAGATACCACCTTACACCAGTTAGAATGGCAAAATTAACAAGGCAAGAAACAACAAATGTTGGAGAGGTTGTGGAGAAAGGGGAACCCTCTTACACTGTTGGTGGGAATGCAAGTTGGTATAGCCACTTTGGAAAACAGTGTGGAGGTGCCTCAAAAAATTAAAAATAGAGCTATTCTATGACCCAGCAATTACACTCCTGGGTATTTACCTCAAAGATACAGATGTAGTGAAAAGAAGGGCCATATGCACCCCATTGTTCATAGCAGCAATATCCACAGTAACCAAACTGTAGAAGGAGCCAAAATGCCCTTCAAGAGACAGATGGGGCGCCTGGGTGGCTCAGTCGTTAAGCATCTGCCTTTGGCTCAGGTCATGGTCTCAGTGTCCTGGCATCAAGCCCCACATTGGGCTCCCTGCCCCTAGGGAAGCCTGCTTCTCCCTCTCCCACTCCCCCTGCTTGTGTTCCCTCTCTCACTGTGTCTTTCTGTCAAATAAATAAATAAATAAAATCTTTAAAAAAAAAGAGAGAGAGAGAGACGATAAAGAAGATGTGGTCCATATATACAACGAAATATTACTCAGCCATCAGAAAGGATGAATACCCAACTTTTACATCAACATGGATGGGACTGGAGGAGATTATGCTGAGTGAAATAAGTCAAGCAGAGAAAGTCAATTATTATATGGTTTCACTTATTAGTGGAACATAAGAAATAACATGGAGGTCATTAGAAGGAAGGGATAAATGACGGGAGGGAAATCGGAGGGGAAGATGAACCATGAGAGACGATGGACTCTGAGAAACAAACTGAGGGTTCTAGAGGGGAGGGGGGTGGGGGGATGGGTTAGCCTGGTGATGGGTATTAAGGAGGGCACATATTGCATGGAGCACTGGGTGTTATGCACAAACAATGAATCATGGAACACTACATCAAAAACTAATGATGTACTGTATGGTGACTAACATAACATAATGAAAAAATAATAATAAAAAAAGAACTCTAGACTGGAAGATGAACTATCCCAGTTAGAATACTGGTTCCTTTGGTGACCAAACCAGTTACCAGACCTCTAGAAATTCACTGAAACCCTCTGGGACTGTTTTCTCATCTGAGGACATGGATAACAACACCTGCCACATAGGGTGTTTGTGAGGGTCAGAAGAGACCATGTGACAGTAGCCTATTGAACACTCCAAATCTCTGGAATAGTTCAGGTTGATACAAGGCCAGTTAGTATAACATATTGGAGAATGAGTAAAGAGAAAAAGAATCTCATTCCATCTCAAAGTTCTGTAATCTTACTTTCTGATCTA